TATATGTTCGGAATAATGGATGTGTTCATACAGTGGATGTTTTGCATAGATTTCTCTTAACTTCTAAGGGTTTTGGCTCCTTGTATTTATTTTGATTATTGAAGTGGAGTAGTCATTTTATCCCTATATTGATTTTATATTATTTTTCTGTCTCCATGTCCATTGTGAGTCATTGTGAGTATGTCCTTTTTACTCTTACTAGAATCAGTCTCATGGAGGGGAGGTTGTCGCCTGTATAAATCTTTTACGCTTCAATTATTTTTTGCAAATCGTGTGTGTGGTGGGTGAGGAGAGGGAATGTGGGGTCGTCCCTTTTTGTATTACCATAATGTAGTGTTTTGTCGCTTCTATGTCTTATAATCATAGGGTAACATTTTGTCGATTAACTCCTTTTTATGAGGGTTTTGTCGCTATTACCTACTATGATTAAGAAGAGGTTGGTCGCTTTTATTTTTTACAAGAAAAAGGGTTTTCGGTTTATTTTACGAAGAATGAAGGTTTCTCCCTTTTAATGATTATGATTATCGAAGAGTTTTATCGGTTTCACTGTTTCACCCATCCATGTTTCCCTTTCAGCTGAACGTCTCTGCCAACTTCGGAGATGGTTTGCATTTAGGGGGATTTCACAGTATTTCGGTAGTATCACGGCCCGTCAGCTGAATGTGGTCTGTCACACCGACTTGATATAGGCTGAGACATTTGCTCAGATGATGGAAACAATCTGGGGCAAACTGGTAAAGGAACCCAATATCGCCATATCCTGGCACAGTAAGGGAACATAACTCTTCACATTGATTTCCGACAACTTCGACCTCTCTTAGCTAGAAAATGTAAATTCAAATGACAAAAGAATATGTGTTCGTATTCGAAAGCACATGTGTGTTAAAATACTCCGGAAATTGCTATTCTTGTAAGACAACTGTATTAAAATGATTCACATTTATTGATTTCTATTCTTTAGTCGAAGCTTACGAGATTTGATCCGCATTAGATGGCGGAATATAACATACCAATATGACGTCCTCAAAACAAATCCCTCCCTCTCGCAGTCCACTTGTACGATGTAATAAACAAAACAACGTCCACCCAGCCTGCTGTCGTTTGTCTTCACAAGCATTGTCACTGCATCAGCACGCATCAAGCCCTACTTGACATGGACGACGACGGGAGTCTCAATGGCATCGTACAAGTGGTAACATGTATGGCATCAATTTGGGCTTGGTAAGTTAAGCTGACATGCTTTCGTATATCTGAAACAATGATTAAAACGTCAGCACCAGCTCCCTCTATCAATCAATACATAAAATGTGTCGGTGTTAAACGTGTCTGTACAACTACAGAATGCTTGTTACTGTAGCTTCAGTCAGTGTACCTGGAGTATGATGTGAGTGAGTGAGTGTGTTTAGTTTTACGCCCCTTTTAGCAATATTTCAGCAATACCACGGCGGGGGACACCAGAGATGGGCTTCACTTGTTCTCATGTAGGGAACCGAACCTGGGTCTTCAGTGTGAGGAGCGAACGCTTTAACGACCAGGCTATGGAGTGTGATGTGAAACTAGAACTGTTTGGACAAACTCCACATAACTCGCCCCAGTGTTGCCCTACGTCTCCTGTGTTGTATATAATGTGCCTCTTGATACAGTGGCTGGACATATATTTTAGGGTGTATAAATGTTTAAGGTGACGGCTTGTTATGGTAGAAACAGGGTTTGATTCCTCACTCACTCATTCATTCAACCACCCACCCACTCACTCACCCACCCACTTCTGTAATCAGTCTAACGGGTGCACGTCTTACTACAGTGTAACTACAAGTGCCAGTTTCTGCAAGAAAGGTTGAGCATGGTTCAACTTAGCTTAGAGCAGCATCTCAGTTACATCACGACTCGTCAGCTTAATGACAGGAAATTAAACCTCGAAGTGATAACGTTTACAAGTTTGGTAAAATTTACAAGCAGCGGCACAATGTTGACTTACCTAAAACATCAAAACAGATCAAAACGGGATTCGAACCTAAGATTATAGATTTCCGTTTCACAGGAAGTAACTCTCTTAGAACTGCTGTTCCTTTGAAGACCGGGTCACTTGACCAAATGGTTCTAGCCAGACGTTATCCCAACAAAACGTTTGTGAAGCACAACTGTGTGTATTTATATAACCAAATTAATTCTGATGTGTATACTGAATGCATTAATGCAAATCTAAATAGATAAACCCTTGCACAATACTGACATCATGAATACAATGCTACATAAACACATTAGCTCGCAGCCATGCCGTTAGATATGCATTGTTGATTGCTGGCATGGATAAACATCTACATCGAGACAAGCCTGATGAGTCTGAAGGACGTGGGCAGAAGTTGGCAGATATTGAACTTGGCAGTCGTCTTTCTCATACATACCTAGATACAATTTGTTGTGCCTGTTGCATTTAACTATCCACGTGTTTGTACCTGAATTATCCTGTCTGTCTGGTTCCGTTCTTTTCTCGGGTGGACTTGATGTATTAGTTTTCAATAATGCTGACACTGCATTTCTGCGCTGACTACTACAACGTGTGTGATTTGGGTGAAACGAAATTTGTAATATGTTTTCAGTTGTCAGGTTGATGTGGGGGAAACTCCACGTGACGCAAGCCATAGACAATTACCACTTTGGATGAAGGCACCAGCACACGAATGATCATACCCTCAAGAATCACATAAATACCCGACGAATGTTTGATTCGAACCCAGAATTATAGCTTCTGGTAGACTCGAGGTATGCATTCCGGACTGGACGACTGAACATCCCTGCCCTTGCATTGATGGAGATCCGTGAAGATCCGGGGTAAAATAGGTCTTCAGCAACCCGTGCTTGCCACGAAAGGCGACTATGCTTGTCGTAAGAGGCGACTAACGGGATCGGGGTGGTCAGGCTCGCTGACTTGGTTGGCACATGTCATCGTTTAATTCCCAATTGCGCAGATCGATGCTCATGCTGTTGATCCCTGGATTGTCTGGTCCAGGCTCGATTATTTACAAACTGCCGCCATATAGCTGGAATATTGCAGTGTAAAACTAAACTCACTCACTTGCATTGATGGGTCCTCTTTCACAGAGAGGTCTTAGCGCTAAATAACACGATCGTAACCCCCATACTCTAGCATAAGCTGACGATAGTCGTACCGCTAAGACCGCATTGTGCGAATGATGATCAGGAACTGTAAATGCCTTACACCATTCCCGTCACCAGCAACATCACCCCACCCCACCCCACCCCACCCCCCTTGTGGTTGTATTTTCTCTCCCATTGTTCCCTTCCATCACCCACTTTCTATAAACTCCGCCAAGTTAGCGTTTCTCGACGTGCTGCCCACAATGCAGCTGCACTCATCCAATAATCTCTGAATTATGCTGTCGCTGCATCCTAAATACCCCCTCAACTGCACAGCTATATGGTTGTCAGTCTGAATCACTCCACAGAATGCTGATCTTGTCCCCTGTTACTGGACGAAAACCAAAGTACTCTAATTCATTTATGTACTCAAACCTCGGGAGATTGTTGCCGTACACCATGTTAGATTTTCCCTATATAATGAACAGAATAATCTTCATAAGCTTTATGAACAAACATTGATTTAACTATGAAAAACGGCGATGAAACACTGCCAATTCCGTAAATGCATTCATGATCAACACAATATACACTTAGATGGGTATATTGATAAAGATCTTATATATACAAAGGAGTATATTTTGGGTAAACCCATTATCAATATCAGGACAAACGGTAGCCCAGTCTATATCTCTATCAATTCAATATTCCTCGTTGTCCGTGTACATTAAGAACGAGTGCTTTAAGACTGTTGATCTCACCATTCATTTATCACATTTCCTGTAGCTGTTGATAATCATAGTACGCGTCGATGCAACCATCTAGTTGTTAACAGCCTCATTGATTTTCCAGCGCTAATACAAATAGCAGTCCAATCTGACCAGGACGTATCAACATTTTCAACAGACCGTGGAAACGACTCTGTCTGGGAATACATTCTTAAATTACTGCAACATTAGATAAGCGCCCGGTCCCCTGAGGCACTAAAGAATTAAAAACAATCTGTATAGAAGAACTCCTTATCACTTCAGATAAAAGTGAAAGTAAGCGAGTTTTGTTGCACGGCGTTTAGCAGTATTTGAGTATTATCAAGGCGGGAAACATGTGCCAATGTCGGGAGACGAACCCAGTTTGATGAATAAACGATTTAACCTCTAATTAATGTGTACGTGCAATGAAAATGGTAACATATCGAAAAGCGATGTTTGAAACAAACACCCGATGCACGTGTCTCAATAAAACAATAAAACCCCAGCATCGAACAACTCACATCGAGCTCACAATATACACTCATAAACTATAGTAATCAGATATACGTGCATAAAAAAATACTACTTCAGCCTCCCTCTCAAATAACAAGCCACGTGTGCTATTTTTAAAGTACACCCCTTCAGTGGGTGACTGAGTTTAGTTTTACGCCGCATTTAGCAATATTCCAGCTATATGGCGGTGGTTTGTATTCGTGTCTGGACCAGGCAATCCAGTGATTAACTACAACCCTTCAACTTGTATGGGTACTGTTGTCATCATAACACTTTACCGGAACAACGCCCACGAGAGATATCTGTCCTAACAAACCCAAACAAAGAGTGATCCCCACTCCACCCTTTCCTTCCAAGCACATCATCTTGATAGTCTATCTTTCACATCACTACCCCAGCAGATTAACAAAACACCCCTATTCAACTCCTTGATACACTCGCCTCTGCCCTTCTAGCTTGGCATGTTGGCATCTCCTTGTAGGCGTGACGGGCTTTATGAGGGAACCTCGCATCCAGCATCCTGCTTGTGTTAACTGTATGGTCAGTTGCAGCCTGGGATAACGTCAGCATCAATGTGCTTTCTAACCTTGTCTTTCGCCTGTAAACCGTCTCGCGGTACACACGCTGCTAGCGTCGAGAGCCGCCGCGGTACAGCTTCTGATTGCCTGTGGCGATGAGATCACAAGAGGGGTGAGCGTAGGCGACGTCCGAGCAACAAGCGGCGTTATATCGGACCGAGCACATCTGGAAGTGATGTGAACTGTTTGCAGCTCTTGGAAAAACTCTTTGTTGATGGGATTGGTTATTATCTATCTGTTTGTGTGTGTTTGGTTATCGCTGTCGGTGGGCCGTGATGAAGACAGACTCGTCTCTTGACATCTGCCTTCCCAGAGTTAAGGATGCACTAAAGCAAGTCACCATTATCAACGACCGACTACCTGTAGATACTTTCTCAGTTGTGCATTTATCTATGTGTATTTACCGAGATGGTTTCATATATGGACTACATATGGTCTGCTGTGACAAGGCAATTAGCGCATCGTAGACTTGCAGGAATCGGGAACCTTTAGAACCATGTCCACGGCCAACTGGAGCCGTGCCACCTGTAAGCATCTTTACGAAGTTAACGGCACCATCCAACAATGCTACTTCTCCGACGACGATCTGTTGCACGCCATCTACTCCTTCATTGAGCCCAAGCCTCACGAATGGGTGTTTACGGCGTTGTATGGGATAGTGTTCGTACTGGGTCTCACAGGCAACTTTCTCGTGTGTTTCGCGGTGTGGAAAAACAGTCAGCTCAGGACGTCAACTAACCTGTTCCTAGTGAACCTGGCGGCAGCAGACTTCCTCGTTATAACGCTGTGTCTCCCTCCGTCGTACATCCAGGCAATATGGGAGACATGGTTCCTAGGGGACACCATGTGCAGGATTGTGGAGTATTACCAGGTAGGTGAAGATATGTCTCTAGGTACGCTCACATATGCACGTTCAAGGGTATAATTCATATGTTTTAACATATTTACGAATGTATGGATTTACAACAGCCGTTTCAAACATGCAAATAATATTTAGCTCACCTGCCCAGCAAACCTTAATAATAGCGTGTTTGTCCGACGTCCAGCGTCCTGCTGGGCCTGTAAAGTATCTTCCCTTGAAAAACCTAAACAAGGATTTGTTTGAGCCATTCTGTGGGTAGCATCTTTATGCTCACCTTTCCCCGAACACCTGGTGTCATCTCTATCGGACCATGACTCATAAACACATGCACATGATACTGTGGAAACGGTTTGTTTTGATTACCAAACATTGTGGAAATGTAGACACTTTTATTACTCAGTTTATATACGTCATAATGATTATTATACAGTTCCAGGCGTAATATAGTCACCGGCTCATCTCACGTAAATACGTACCCTTGTCACAACATAATTCTTGAACCGAACAATTTGTATTATATAGAAAGGATCCCATGATAAGTAAATTTCGTTTCCTGAAAATCCAACAAAATCCGTATCAACCCTTTCAGCATTTTAATGCAGAAATGGTAAATATGTAGAAGTACGAGTGCATTAAAACGCAATCTGCCTCTTTTGTTACACGTACAGACGACGTTGACATGTTCTATTTAAAGGATGTTGCTGGCAAACATAATAGTATAAGTTTCATTGCCATCATCACACAAATGTCATAACATCTTAATCTTCTCTTGTGGGGTCCCCGCGGACAACCGGATGAGATGTCGTGATCATCGTCGATTCAAATTACTTTCTTTGGTGGAAACTTTCAATCATTACAGGCATTGTGCTTATTTTATCGATTGTCCTATGTCCTTTTGAAAACTTTAATATTTAATTAATGCGTTTGGTAGTTAGTTAAGATATGCACTCTTTGTGTGGCCAGCAATTGATAGAAGCGTTAATTATTCAACATGGAAACAAACAGACTCTGAACATGGAACAAATGCAATAATCCTCACAGCGTAAAGCTCCAAATCTATTTAGGTGATCCGTGACATAGATGTTGGGTAATCGGAATATATCGTCCTTGCAATTCCGTAGGGATTCATCCTGCCAAACGAAGCAAGGATCAGTACTAATTTCATATAAAAATGCTACGACACGTGCCGGATTTCCCACGAGATCACAAAAAAAAAATTTCAAATACAGAATATATTTTTCTCAAATGTGAGTTTTGAAGGATAGGTATAATTTAATAAAACGGTCATGATGTGGTTGACTCAGAGCCATGTGTTGCCTGATGCTTCCCTCAGTTCCAGATGATGAAGACGCATATTGGATGTAACTCAGGTACCTGTTTCACTGGGGACTCATAACACTGAAAATAGCTGTACCGCTAAACCAGACCTACTTCATGAATATGAAACGAAACATTGTACAGATGACCTACAAATGCTTTATTCCCCAAACACTTAACATGTCAAAACACAACGCGTGAAATCAATGACTAACAGAAGAAAGGAATAACCTCGTTGTATAACGCGTGGAACTTGTTCAAGGATTGATGGAAATGATAAAGTGTAGTCTCATTGTTGGTCTGGTGGTGTTGTTCCCATAGTAATGAGTCAGATACTTGGTTCCTTGAGGGAGACATTAGTTATGACTTACAACGATTAACTTCTTCTGGTTGTATCAGTAAGTGAATGATGGAATCTAACCATATCACGGCTCTCAATGATCGAATCTCGGTCTGACAACGTAGTGGAAGATGTCATTAAAACCGCCATCTTGAAGGATGACAATCGTCTTTGACAATTAGCCATGTAACACGTTGTTTGTTTGTTTTCCGTCACAATATTCCAGTTATACAGCGGCGGTATGTAATAATCGAGTCTGGACCAGACAAACCAATGATTGGTATTGTAAACAATGATCCATGCCGTTGGAGTGCCGTGGCACGAGGTCACTTACCCTGAACACCAGATCCGTTAGGTTGCCTCATGCAACCAGCATAGGTCTTTAGTGACCACTTCAAGCCAACCCACACATACAGTTCACATGACACAACACAGTGTAATGCACACCCGAAAATGCGTCTATTGGCCACTATCGCCCACAATATGATATTTATATATAGGACTATTTACATCACACTTGTCGTGAATCACATGCATTATAGGTTAATATACCACTCAAAAGAAGTGAAAAGGCATCACAATCTTTCATATTGCTACAGTTGATCTGTCATATTTTGCTGAATAGTGTATATCCATGTCATGCATGCCTACGATTATTCTTGTGTACACACTTCTGTATCTTCCATCGTGACATAAAACTCTAGCAATATATCGGGTACTATTTAATGGCTTTTACGTGGGATACACTGCCATGCATACACATTAGCGTGAAACAAACAACCATAACTATAAATAATTGACGAAACTGATTTTAGAGAGCATTTTTGATACATCTAGATAATAACTTGCAATGAGAACCAAAATGTGAACATCTATTCAAACGAGCTGACACTCGTCTACTAGATGATGCATTATTGTTTGTTTTGTAGGCATAACGGAATACAAATTCTGTCAGTATATAATATTGTGTTTTACGGAGAAAACTGTTTAATGTGCGTGTTTATCGGTGATTGACACGATCTCTCTGCATTGTTGCAGACCCCAGTGCCCCAACACTGTCAAAGTAGGGCGTACACGACAAGGTAATAGAATCCATAGCGACAAGCAAGGCTTCAGTGTGACAAGCAAGAGCTATAAGCTCAAGGTGCCACATTTACAATGTTAAAGCACATCTCTGATGTCATTTTATATCCGAAATGCTCAATTACTCAAAAGTAGATAGTTAGTTGTCAATTATTTATTATCTGGATAAACTAATCGTTTAGAACAGCAAGCAAATCAAGATAATACATTCCATTATCGACCCACACAATCCAAAACAGAATAGAAGGAGCACTGGCTTATTCTGTAGGTATTTCCACAAAAGAAAGTTTGGAGAAACTTTTGAGTAGGACTGTTTTGAGTTATATCCTTGTATCCTAGCATTCCTTAACAAAAATGGAAGCCACTGTCTAAGGAATGGAGGGTTAACTCTCCATGACATGGCCCTTGTGGCATCTGCATTTCTGCCCTCCAGAAGACATTGCTTCATCTAACGAGATGGATATTATCTCTGACATACTGCCACCTAACCTCTATATGGACCACTACAGCAAGACGCAAGCCTAATCGGATCATCTCATGATCCGGTCCTCTCTGGAATTTTCAAGGATGCAGTCAATCTAACGTGGACTGGACCTTGCAAGTGTTAACTTTTATCAACGAATAATGATTTACATCTCCCACTCGGGCGTGCTTGCAGTGTTTAACAGTGACGATATTAAAGCGGAGTCGTATGTCTCCAGCTTCTGTTTTCTGAGTCTCGGTTTCCCTGTACCATTATAAACATGCGGCCTTTTTAATTGAGCTCCACCCTTCTTAAGTACATTCCTTATTTTGATCGTATGTCCAAGATATTATCGGTACCTCTTGCAGGTGGTACGGGAACACTGAATCTGTCTACGACGGCCGCCGCCGCCAATACTCTGTCATAGGTGTCGTTACCTAATACGAGGGGCCAAATCATTATTGTAGCGGACCATTTTTCGACAAATATTAAATTCATACATGTATGTTGTGTTCTTGCGTGTCTACGTCACAGTTGCAACCTATAATCAGATATCATCAAGGGTAAATATACATATGAACAGCCAAGCGAGTTTTAGAATGTAACAAATATACTAAAACGTATATGGCTCCTTGGTCAGGAAGTTACATTACAACAACAAAATACTTTCTCCAAAACATAAAAGACGGTTTCCGCGGAAATACTACGGCCTTGGAACCAAGTCAGAGAGTTCATGTATAAAATTTGCAACCGAAGTGTACGTAATGTTGGATATTTCCTCGTGTAAGGGTCATTAATATTCTGCACATCCTCATCGGCTCTTGGGTTCCCTGCACCTGTCATTACAGAATGTAAGTAGCTGTGGTCTGATCTTGTCCTTGTTCATGGCATTCCCTGGGTCAAGGTTCTGTGCAGAAAGCAGACTGTCATTTGAAAGACATGATCGCTTCTTGGCTCTGAGCCTGCATCACCAGTGACTGGTCAGTAGGTCTGAGGTACGTCCGGTTACATAAGTACTAATTGAGGAACCCGGATGTTGCTTTTGCTGCTTCAGTATGTGTCGAGTCTCCAGCTGGTTTGACATCATCCAGTTTCACTCAAGTAGTAATTGACAGATGTACATCCGGGTTAGAATTGGTCTTCAGCAACCCATGCTTGGCGTGAGAGGCGATTAACGGGATCAAGTTGTTGTCAGGCTCGCAGATTTGGTTGACACGTGTCATCGTATGCCAGATGCGTAGATCCATGCTCATGCTGTTGATCACTGGATTGCCTAGACTCGATTATTTACAGATTGTCGCCATACAGCTGGAATATTGGTGAGTGCGGCGTTAAACTACAAACAACGAAAACAAGTAATTTTCCATCCTCATATACGGAGACAGGTGGCAAGAAGATGAAGATTATCCAAACGGTGGTACACTTTGGTGCCAAAGCCCCTGATTTACAGAGATTGCACCAATCTGCAGGTTCTTGACAGATACTAATGACATATGACAATGACATGTATGCTATTGTCGTAGAGTCTGGTGGTTTGCAATCTATGTAGGTATTCAAGCAACCACTTTGACGTAAGTTCCGTTTCCCTTTTACAACGTGGATGGCAGAGCCTCGGATACTGAGACTTCTCTTCGGACGACTGTATTGCAGTCGGTGTTTCAAAGCAAGTCGAGGTGTAGTGCGTGATGCCATCCCAACCTTTCTTGTTGTCCATTGACTTTTGATGGGATGACTCATGGCCTTTTTCTAATTAATATATAAAAGCCAAGTCAATATGTCTATCAAAGTGTTATTGACTTGAGTCAA